TATATAAATATACATGAATACATGAAAAAAAAAAAAGTTAAAGTATAACGAACCATTATGCCAACCAATATAATATATATATATATATTATAGTATGTCTTGAAAAAATTTTATATCTTTTTTTTTGAGGTTACCGTTAGTAAAAAACGAAAGTTGTTAACGTAAAAAAAAAAAAAAAAAAATTATTATTTAGTTTTAGCAATTTTAAGTCAAAAGTTATCTGCTTTGATTTATCATGTAGGATAGCATCATTGGGCACAAGAACGTCTGCAAACGTTTTTTAATGGTTCCATAAAATCGTTTTCTAATGGTTTTTTAAACGTCCATATGAAACAGTAAGCGGACGTTTTTTTAAAAGCGTTTTGTGAACGTTTTTTAATTGTCCATAAAAACGTTCTTCATTGGTTTTTTGAACGTCCATGAACGGACGTTTTTCTCAAAACGTTATTTATTGGTTTTTATTACGCCTAAATGAAACGTTTTGTCATATTTAACATTTTTCTAACAACGTTAGAAACATTTTTTTTAAGTATAAGTTATTTAAGTAAATAACTTATGTTGTACAGAAAAAAAACTTTTTCACAAATGAAAACTTAGATCAAGATCCGGATAAATAACTAAAAGTTATAACATTTTGTGTTTATTTATAATTTAAGCATACAAAAACATAATAAAGTAGTTTTCTTTGCTATTCTATTGGTAGCAGGAAAAAATCCCCCAGGAAAAAATTCCCTCGGAAAAAATCCCCCCGAAATAATCCCCCGAGAAAAAATCCCTCCGAGAATAATCCCCCTGGGAAATATCCCCTAAAAAAAGATATTTTTTTTAACATAAAAATAATTTTTATTTTTTAAATTAAATTATTTTTATTTTATTCTTTTAATTAAATTAAATTATTTTATTTTTAAATTAAATTATTTTTATTTTTAAAAATTATGTTTATTTTTATTTTTAAAAAATATGTTTATTTGTTATTTTAACGGTTTTTTTATATTACTTGAATAACATAATCCTTAGAAATATTGTACTTTGTTATAAAGAAATATATAAGATAAGTTTACATACTACAACAGATGTTTTAACTTAATTAATTATATAAAAAATTATCTAAGATGTTAACTTTTAAAAATAAAATTTATCAAGAAAATAGTTATATTTATTTATCTTATATAGTTTTATAAAATACTTCATTTTTCATCAAAATGTAAGGTTATGCGCTATTTCTCGTTTGTCGGTAAAAAATAATAATTAAAAAAAACTCTCCAATTCCTAATATTTTATTTTAAAGCTTTATTTAAAATAGAATATTAGGAATTTCGTCAGGGTTAGGGTTAGAGTTTCACATTCGCTACCTTCGAGGAATAGCGCATAACTTGACATTTTTATAAAATATGAAGTATTGTATATAAATATTTAAAATAAATAAAGAAATAAACATAACTGCATATTGATAATTTTTATGTAAAAAAAAATTTTTTTTTTTGGGGGGATATTTCCCGGGGGGATTTTTTCTCGGTGGGATTTTTTGCGGGGGATATTTTTCCCTAGGGGATTTCTTCCGGGGGAATTTTTTCCTAGAACCATTCTATTAAGTTATTTATTTTATTATTCTCTTCAAATAACCGCCTTTCAACTTATCAACCAAATCGATACTTGCTGCATCTGACGCTAATGTTCTTAAAAATGAAAAATACCATAGAAATCTTTCATGCATTTTACTAGCATGTAAAAAAAAAATGCATCAAAATGTAAATTATAATAATAAGAAATGAGTAATGGAAAATATCACACAGAATATTAAAGGAACAATATAAAAATTTAAATAGTACCTATAATTACTCTACTGAATAAAGTTTTTTCAAAATGATTTATTTCTATAATTTCCAGCTTTCTTCAACAATGGTAGAACACATTTTGACATTATTTCATCTAAAACATTAATATCAGAGCTGAAAAATACCTTTAAAAAATCATAGAATATATTTAGTTTGATAACATTTTATTTTATTTAGGAAAACTATTTAATTAAATGTAAACAAGAATATAACATTTAATAAAACTTTGCTTTATTATTTAATATTATTTCACTTTCATCAAACCTAGTTATATCATTTATTTTATCATAATGAAATTATGAATTTTAATTAAACTCAGTCTTTTTCCAAAGGATATCCACTTCAGATAAAGACTTTTTTAGACTTTAGGCATCGTTGTTCCATATATATTGCAGAATGAAAACCTACTACAAAAAAAAAGTTCGAACTAAATAAAATAATAATAAAAAACTGTTGTGGAAAACTGAAAATTAAATTAAATACAAAAAACATCTTTAAAAAAAAGAAAAAAACAACATTTAAAAACATACTTGCTCAACTAATAGACTTATAACTTGATGGCAGTTTATAATAACAATTAAGTGCTGCAATGCAGCACTGAAATTCTTTTTTGAAATTTAACTTGTTTTAAGAAATGTTTTATGTATTATTTATAATGTATTATTATTTATAATGTATTACTTTGCAACTTGTTAAAAAACATACACATTTTTAAATATTTTAAAAAACATTTTTCTGGTATTATTTGACATAAAATGTTGAATAAAAACAGATAAACTTACATTTTGCATATTTTTACACTTTAACATGCTTTTCTAATGTGCAAAAAACTATGATATGTTTCACTTATCGTTCTAAAATTGATATAAAAAAAAAAAATGAGTAGATTCAGAAACTAAAAAATAGTCAGTTTCAAGGCTTTTTTCACTAAAAAAATTTTCATTGTCATTATTACTTAATTTTAAATATTCGCAGTTTAATTTTGTGGAAAAGTTGTTCTCTTTTTTAAAATATAAAGTTTAAAATCAAAAAAAAAGGAAAAATTTAAAGTAAAAAAAAGAAAAAACAAAGAAATATATATATATAAAAAAAATATATATATATAAAAAAATATATATATATAAAAAAATATATATATATAAAAAAATATATATATATAAAAAAATATATATATATAAAAAAATATATATATATAAAAAATATATATATATAAAAATATATATATATAAAAAAAAAGGAAAAATTTAAATATATATATATAAAAAAAAAGGAAAAATTTAAAGTAAAAAATAGAAAAAACAAAGAAATATATATATATATATATATATATATATATATATATATATATATATATATACATATATATATATATATATATATATATATATATATATATATATATATATATATATATATATATATATATATATATATATATACAAACACACATATATATATAGATATATATATATATATATATAATATATACATATATATATATATATATATATATATATATATATATATATATATATATATATATATATATATATATATATACATATATATATATATATATATATATATATATATATATATATATATATATATATATATATATATATATATATATATATATATATATATATGTATATATATATATATATATATATATATACATATATATATACATATATATATATATATTATATATATATATATATATATATATATATATATTACTTTTTTTTTTATTTTTTTACCTAAAATATTATAATTTTAATATTTAAATTTTAATATATATATATATATATATATATATATATATATATATATATATATATATATATATATATATATATATATATATATATATATATATATATACATATATATATATATATATATATATATATATATATATATATATATATATATATATCATCAAATTAGAAGCTTTATGAAGATCATTAATATAAATGAAAAAAAGAAGAGATCCTAATATCGAGCCTTGCAGAACCCCACAGGTTATTTTTAATAAATTAGATGGGTTAACTTCATTACTATAAACAAACTGTTTGCTGTTACTTAAGTAACTTTGAAGTAACTTTGAAACATTTAATTTCATAATATTTAACTTTTTTAAAGAGAATTTAGTGATCGATTGTATTAAAAGCTTTTGATAATTCTATGAAAACTTCCAACATATATTGGGAACTTTCAAACGATTAAAAAATACTACAAGTTATATAGAGTATCGCGTGTTCTGTTGAGGTATTTTTTTGGACCCGTATTGATTAGTGTAAAGTAAATTATTTAAAGAAAGGTGATTATAAATTACGTTATATAGGGTTCTCTCTAACAGTTTAGAAAAAACAGGCAAAACATAGATAATTTATAAGATTTGTAGTATCACCTTTTTTAAAAATTGGTGTGACTTTGGCTAATTTAAGATGTTCTAGAAATAATCCCTGTTTTATTGAACAGTGAAAAACTTTAATTAGTACATCTTTCAAATGTTTATACAAGTCGATGACCACATTACTAAATATACCATCGTGGCCGACAGATTTATTAGACTTTAGCATATTAAAAGATTGCTCAAATTCTTTAAAAGATAATTCAAAGGAAGTTAGAGACAAAGTTAACGGAAAATCAAAGTTATCCATTTTATTTATCACAAAAAGATTTTTTTTGCAAGATTTGGGCCAACTGACACAAAGAATTAATTTAATTCATCACATATCATTGTTGGATTGGACAAAATTTCATCATTAATTTTTAAGATAACAGACAGTGCGCATGTTTTTTGCCTTTTTTTGATTTTTGCTCTTAGAATTTCCCAGGTGCGTATAGAATTATGTTTGTTCATTTCAAGTAGATTGGAGTAGTACTGTTTTTTAAAATTCTCTCTTTGTGTTTCAAACTTTCTGACACAACTTTTGTAAAGAATTTTACTTTCTTGTGTTTTTGTTTTCAAATGTTTAATATATAATTTTTGCCTAATTTTAGAAGATTTTCTTTTAGAAGATTTAGAAGATTAAGAAGATATATATATATATATATATATATATATATATATATATATATATATATATTATATATATATATATATATATATATATATATATATATAGTATAATATCTTAAAATCTTTCATTTAGATTAGCATATTTATACGCTACAGTTTTAAGTGTGAAATCTTATATAACAAGATTACCATGTTTTTCATATGCAAACTTTAGTTTAATATCTAACCAATACTTCAATGGAGATATCGGCTTAACTTATTTTGAAGTAGGTAACATAAATGAATGTGGAACTTATTGTGTTAGGTTTCCTACATGCGTATTTGCAAACTTCAACGCAAATCAAAAAATCTGTAAGTTAATGTCTTCTGAGTCAAATTCTTCAAACAGTATTACAACGGATGTTACCAATAATAAAAATGTATGTTAGTTTAGATATATAATTAATATTATGGTATAGCAGTAACTTATATAAATATGTTTTACATACATGTATATATATATATATATATATATATATATATATATATATATATATATATATATATATATATATATATATATATATATATATATATATATATATGTATATATATATATATATACTTACCTTGATTGCGACAACTAATTTTCTTTTAAACTATTAGTGAACGATCAACTTAGCAAAATTAAAATAATTAAAGTTTATTAAGTTAAAATCATATTTTTAACAGTGAGCAATGTAAACGTATGATGGTTGATAGAGTACCTGAGTAAAACTAAAGAAATAAAATAACAACTAAATTTGCTATGTGATGCATATTATACCTATTGGGTTTTCGTCTAGCCCAATTTTTTACAACTTGATTATATCTTTTTAACATTTTTTTTAAACGCTTTTTTTCATCAAGTTTTTGTTAACACATTTTATGATTACACTAACTACAAACAGTTTTAATTTATGTGTTTCATCATGAAAGTATACCACTTTATCGCACGAACAACATTCTTGCATTCAATAAAGTCAAGTCACATTATAGCAAAGTATACCACTTGGCTAGCAAGGTCAACACTAGACTATGATAACCACTTAAAATTAAACACACAACAACTAAAACCACTTACAAACGTAACTCTTTATATATAAAAGATATTTACACATTTACAAAATATAAACCCATATCAACACATATAAACACAAAATAAATACACAAATATAAACACAAAATAATGTCATATAAAACAAATAATAATGTCATATAAACACAAAATAAATACACAAATATAAACAAATATAAAATTTAAAAAAAATATATAAGTTAGAAACTTTACAAAGAAAATGTTATTTTTGTAATATTTGTTAATTGACATACCTTGTATTAAATGTTTAAAAACTTTAAAAATGCTAACAATCAAACAACCTGGTTTTTTTATATTATACAAGAAAACAAATTTTTTTAACTTCTTAAATATAAGGTATTAAATGATCTTGTTTTTAAACATGTAACATAGACGGTTGACAGTGTGAGACGCAAGGGTTTCGGAAACAAAAACTAACTTTATCAAGAATTCGATCTCTTGACCTTTGGAAAGAGTAACCCCAGCGGACGCGGCAACGTCCATATGACGTCGAAAAGACGTCTTTTTAAGACGTCCAAAACTAGTTCTAATTGGCAACGCCAGATGACGTCCTTATAGGAAGTAATTAAGACGTCTTTTTAGGACAGAACAAAGACGTGTTTTTCAGACGTCTAAAAGATGTGAATTTAGAACGTTCAGAACTAGTGCTAAATGAAAACGCCAAATGACGTTTTTAAATAACCTAATTTAGCCGTCCTCATTTCGACGTCTATGATTCGTGTTTTTACACGGATTTACTCAACCGTAAGGTTAAAATATATGTCTTCCCTTAACTTTTTGAGAATAAGTAAAAATAAAAATTGGCGTAAACTTTTTAACAATATAATTGTGCTAAGTTTTATAAATTACAATTTTTTTTAAACTTCTTCATCCACTTGTTATTTTCCAAGAATCGACTGTTCGAACACTTTAAGTCATTCTCCTTCTTTTAGATCAGGTGTGGAGTTTAGATTATTTCCAACAGCATTTTAAAGTTCTTTTTTGCTGTAGGAATCAGTTGAACAGTCTTAAACCTAAAAAAAATTGTAAAGATAAATACGTAAAAATAAAGGAATAAAGGAATAAAGAGAACATTTGTAGTACACTTTACGACGTAATATATATATATATATATATATATATATATATATATATATATATATATATATATATATATATATATATATATATGCATATATATATATATATATATACATACATATATATATATATATATATATATATATATATATATATATATATATATATATATATATATATATATATATATATATATATAATTAATACACACAAACACATATCCCCAACATTCAACAACTTTTATATCTAAATTCAAAAAATAACACTAATATGAGTAGTATGGGGCAATTTAGTGTAAGTTATATTGGGCATAAATAATTAATTAGTATTTTAATCAATTTCGTATTTTCTATGTATAATTACAAATCAAAATTTGTTATGTAATTTATGATAGTAATTTACCCTCATAAAGAAAACTAAACATTAAACCATAATAAAAAATATACCACTTTTTTTGCAATATTTTTATTAAAAAGCAATTGATCACATTTAAGATACTCAGCGGTAAAATCACACTAGTAAAGATAAAAACTATTTTCAACTTTAAACGTTTTTTAAGTAATTAAATGAGCCTATATATATATATATATATATATATATATATATATATATATATATATATATATATATATATATATATATATATATATATATATATATATATATATATGCATATATATATATATATATATATATATATATATATATATATATATATATATATATATATATATATATATATATATATATATATATATATATATATATATATATATATATACTATATACTTGACTACTCCCTTGAAAAACTTTATAAAAATAAACTCAAAAAATCAAGAGTTACATACATAATAGAAGTTTTTATGACCAATACATATATATTATATATGTTTATAAATAAATTTTTAATTGATAAAATAAAAGTTTATAGAAAAGTAAATTAAGGAGAGCAGTCAAATTTTAACTTTTTTAAAGATTATTTAAGGACTTTTAAGGATGTTTTTTTTTTCCCAAGGTTATTTAAGGTTTTTAAGAAGGATTGGGAACCCTGAATATAAACGACAATAATCAAATAATTACATATTGAAACTTTATCAGCATATATTGTTGTAGTGGATTTGCAGTGGACCTATAAAGGCATTTTGAGCAGTTAAATGGAGTTTAATTCATTGTTTACTTAGTAAATTACTTAAGTGGCCAGCCGATAACATTCCAACAAGTGATATAGTGGTTACTTGTGTTATCCACTTTTGGCTGCTGCCACTAATGGTCCATTAAGTATAATGAAGCAAATAATCAAAAAATCATTCATATAGAAAAAAAGATCAACTCTTTTTTATCTTTAAATATATTTTTTTCAATTTAATTTAAAGTTGGATAAGTTACTAAAAAATAAATTTTATCAAATAATAAATATAAATCTTGATTTTCATTTTAATTTATTATTTGGAACTTTTAATGAACAAAAAATAAAATAGCGAAATTAGTTACATCTATCTTCAAAAGATTATTTATGGCAGGTTTTTAAAGTTCTTGTACAACTAAAGCCTTTATTTTTTTGTTTGATTTTTTTTTGGAAAAGATTCAAATGAATTTAATTTAAAAACTAAACCAATCGTAACAGTTGACTTATATAAGAGATAGGAGTGTAAAAAATTTCTTTATTAAACACAATTGTTCCTTCATAAGATTCATAAATGGAACATATTTAACAAAAGTTGTAACCATTTTAAGATTTTATATAGTTTTTATTTATATTTTTTATTGTATAGAAAACCATTTTGTGTTATTGACTTGACTCAAAGAAAAAAATTGGTATTTAGTTAGTGAATTAGGTTTGGTTTCACTTCAATAAATGCCAACTCTAAAAATATTAAAATAATCAAAGCAAGCTAATATTTGCTACAATTGTTTACTTGAAAATTTAAATAAAGGTAAACTATTAATGATCAAAACTCTATAATAAACGTTGAAATAACATTGAAACTTTCAACGTTTATTTTTGACTATTGAAATTTCAACGTTATTTCAACGTAAATTTAACGTTAAAAAAAAAAAAAGCGTTGAAAGTTTTAAAGTTAATTAAAAATAGGGGTGGAATGTAAGAAGCAAAATTGAGTCAAGTTCGACTTGAACTTTACATTGCAACCGATAGCGAAAAAGTATGGCTTTTCCCCTCAAAAAATACTCTGCCGCTATTGGTTACAAAGTTACTAAACCAATCGTAACCGTTGATTTATATAAGAGATAGGAGTGTAAAAAATTTCTTTATTAAACACAATTGTTCCTTCATAAGATTCATAAATGGAACATATTTAACAAAAGTTGTAACCATTTTAAGATTTTATATAGTTTTTATTTATATTTTTTATTGTATAGAAAACCATTTTGTGTTATTGACTTGACTCAAAGAAAAAAATTGGTATTTAGTTAGTGAATTAGGTTTGGTTTCACTTCAATAAATGCCAACTCTAAAAATATTAAAATAATCAAAGCAAGCTAATATTTGCTACAATTGTTTACTTGAAAATTTAAATAAAGGTAAACTATTAATGATCAAACTCAAAAATAAATATTTTCTTTATACTTGCCTGTATTTCAAAATTTTTAGTACCACACTTTTTAGAAACAGTTAATAACTGTTTATCTCGAAGATGCAGAGAAAGTTTTAAAAACACCTCTAGGTATAACTTAGTTATACTGTAGGTGTTTTCAAAATTTTTTTTTGCATCTTTGTGAAGTTTCAAACCTTGGATTTTTAATACTTCAAGAAATTCATTAACTAATATACTGGTCCGATTATTTTGAATAGCACAATCTAAAATTTGTCAATTAAAGATATTGAATTCTAGTAAATATTCAGGATAAACTTTTTGTATCACTATTAGGTTTTCTTTTTGAAAAAAAATGATTCTGCATGAGATTCTGCGATGTCAAAAACTTTTAAATAATCAAAACATGGTTCTTAATACAGTATATCAAGTATTATACTTTATACAAGATGCCATAAAAAACTCCTTCTACATTTGAAAGTTCTTTTACACTTGAAAGTTTCTTCTACATTTGTATTAAAATGGCGTTTTTAATTAACAAAAATAAATATTTCTTGATGATTGCGTGATTCAACTAAGTTAATTTTGATTTAATAAAGCATTCTGGATCTTTTTAGGACGAAAAATTTGTTGGACGCGAAAAAGACGTTCAAAAGACGTTTAGAATTTA